ATACTATCACATATTACCGTACAGAATTTTTTTCCCCTTACTACTTTTTTTAGGCAAACCTAACGCATTTCATAGCACATTGTGAATTGATCAAAATGTTCACACTATCGCGTTTATCGTGTAATTCATAATCGTGTAACATACGAGTAAATGAAATATAAAAACGTAAAATACTGTATAATGAATTAAGCTTATAATTCATATAAATATGAGTATTTTTAAATGCACATTTCTTCAAACTTTAACGCGTTATAAATAATTTTTCATTATTGAAAGATACTAACTCCACTTATTTTGATTGTATTTTGTACAATTTTTCTATCAACATATTTAAAATGTATAGATGCTTCAAACAAATGTCTAAAAAAAGTATTTAAAATTATACCCATGGTATGAACGAATTGATGTGATGGAATCATTCCATTAATTATTTAATCAACTGACCATTTGAAGCGTAATTAGGCCACCATGCTAATTTAACGATTATACTTTTCCCACGTTTCAAGTAGATATTATTCTGTGGTAGCGTACTATTACACTGTTACAAATTCACGTTATTTTCGACTTATAAGCACATCTTTTTCGTACAATTTCCCGTTTTAAATGTTTTTTAATAATTTATTAAGTACATACAGGTGAACAGTTCAAAATACTAAAGCAACAGTTAATACTTCATAATTGAATTAATATTGTTTTTTTAAAAACCAATGTATATTTTATTCAAAGATTAGGCCTACTCGAGACTATAAAAACTTTAAACTTGAGTATATTATATATATATATATATATATGTATAAAAATCGGCGTAATATTTTTCCAACAATAATTATTGCTTGTTATCTGTTTATTTAGAATTAATAGTTAATATTTAAATATTTTAATATTATTAGCCCGAAACCATCCGTTTTCTCAATATAATCCATTTAATAATACTAAACACTTTTTCAATATTCCTGTAATAAATTTAATTTTTTTTTTTTGTTATTTACTTAAGATTTCAGACCAACATCATAATATTATCGACGATTTTCAATCAATACTATACATTATCAAATTAATAGAAAAAATGGTAAGACATAATGAAAATTGTATGTTAGGTGTTTATAACAATTTATAATTTACTATACTTTAAATGTATTAAACTCGTATCAATGCAGCCGCTTAAATTAACCATTCTGTGTTTATAATATTATAAAACGTTTATACTGATTTATAATAATATTAAAATAGATTATTTTTATTTTTATTTATTTTTTTTTTTTTTTACAGATAAAATATAACAATATGTATTACGAAAGAATTGAGAAAAGAAGAAAACAACAAAATCTGGAACTGCAAGGACTAGCTATATTTCTACAAAATATTTGTACCGACTTGAACATTTCCCTCGATTAATCTTAAGTAAATGAAAGTGGTAGGTAACAAATAATTATATATAAAATAAAAAATTGCAATGAGACACGTAGAACATTTTTTTCTAATAAGAGCTGAGTTATATTTTTCCCAACCGATTTAACAAGGAATAAATGTAAAATAATTTTAGGTAAAATAGTTTTAACGTTCTGGGTCAACTCGTAGCGAAATCCGATCGATTTATAGTCAACACTAAAAAGTTGAGTTTTTAATCGAATAACCGATTGTGAGTAATCGTTGAATATTGCTTAGTATACTACACTAACGAATGACGCGCGATGTTTTAATCGATGACGTATTTATTATTAACGCAAGAAAGTTGGAATTCGTAATGTTATAGTGCATGTCATTAGGTATATCGTATAATGTTTTGCTTTGTAAACAAGGTATAAGATACGTAAATTAATTTAAATTATACGAGTACGTTTTGCGTTAAACATCCATGTATTAATATTAATTAATTACCTAGGTACCTTATTATTAATAAGGTCAGGTAGTAATTAGGGTAGTGATAGGGCTAGGAATTTGTAGCAATTAAATTTTCTTTTTTCTTAGTTATTTATGACTTGGCTTATCAAATGGTACCTATATAATTTGATTATATGGTTTTCATGAATTAATTTATTTTTAGTCCTATTGTATCAAAATATTGTTCACTATTACATTCAGTTTTTAATAATTATACAGTAAAACCTCGTTAAGACGCTCTCGCTTAATACAAGGATTTTTTCCGTGGTCCTACAACGCCTAACCAGGAGTGGCTCAGTTTATGTTACACGTTATCATTATTAAATTAAGTATTAGCTATTTGTCATATTCAAAAGTTAATCTTGTTATGTTATCTATTATGTTATTTATACTATATTATTATCTATTCTATTTATTTATCTAATTTTCATTAATTTACCTATCTGTAATATCTTTAAAATAAGCCGATTGTCATATGCAAAAAAAAAAAATAATTTAATACTTGTAATATAGCTTTATAATATTTATTATTATTTAATTACTGTAAGCTATTATTATTACCTATGTGTTTCTTTTACAGTATATTGAAATAACAATATCCATGTAATTTACTTAAGTACTTCGCTTATTATTTTACTTTTGAACAATAATCTTATTTACATATCAATACAGAAAATTATTTTCTACCAAGTAGATTTTTTTTTTTAACATAATATATAATAAAAAATAAATATATACCTATATTATGTAGATAAGTGTGTGTTAAAAATATGACCAGTATACCTATACGAAATGTCTGGCATTGATTTTGGTACCAGTTTATCATGGTAAGAAGTTATGTATAATAATAGCTATGTGGAATAATAGGTAAATAATTATAAATATGTAAATAATTCAATAAAAATATTTCTATTTAATATTTCCACTACCTACCTAGATGTAAAGTGAATTTGACAAATACCTACTAAGATAATATGTTCCTAATAGTATTTAGGTGTGCACAAGTATTTAATTGTTGGACACAACCTATTTGATACATTTTTAGTAGTATAAATGAATAATGGTTAATCATATAGGTACTTACTTTTAAACTGTTATATAGATATTTTAACATCTGTGATATAATTGAACGTGAACAATTACTTGAAAGACAAACACAATGAAACACTTAAATTTAATAAATGTATAATAATACATTTTTAAAAATGTCTTTTTATATTTACTACTTAAGATTATTAACTACCTATTGGTATATTCAAAACAATATGAGCTATACATTAGGTGTGTATAATAAAATCATTCAACTATGGTATGTTGAATTTTCCATTATTATTTTATTTTTTAAATTTTTTGATAAATTTGTGAATCCATAAATTAATAATTAATTTATGGATTCACAACTAATTATTAGTTTATGATTTTATTTAAGTAACTTACAAATTAATATTGATAAAATTAATTCATACAGCTTTAAGCAGTGACATTTTAATTAATATTTACATATCTTATTAGTTGTTACTATATAATATATAAGTTTTTACTCGTTAACTTATAAACTTATAATTCGTAAAATTAAATATATTTGTTTAAAATGTAATTTTCATGATTTAGAATTTATATTTTTGTAACAAAATTGTATGATATAATATGTATACATTTTGGAAATTAAAAACTTAAAGCTGCGTCTAACATTGTACAACAATAACAAATAATATATAGTAATAGCAAATAACAAGTACTGTTTAGTATGTTTATAACTTATTTTTACTAACATTCTTAGTTTTTATTCTTATTTTTATTAAAATTTCTTTGACATTTGCCGCCAACTGATCGATAACTTTTTTACATTCTTTTTGTTAATAACAATGTTTACAACATCAATATTAATAAAATGTAGAAAAATAAATAAAACGCTTTATTAAAATTATTACATGCTTATAACAATTTCATTTTAGTCTGGACATGACTTTAAACCATTAAACTTTAAAGGAAATTTACTAACCAATTCATTAGCCACCAAAGCTTTAAAACTTTTCAACATATTTATGTAAATTATACATACGGTAACAAATACATTTTTTTATTCGTTTTATAGAAAATTTCACTTAAATACTTATATATATACAATATATATTAATAAACATCAAAAGTTAATGATCATTAAGATTAATCAAAATTAATTATTTTTATTATTTTTTCTATAAGTGAACAAACTCTACCAGACATGTAATTGTCAAATTTAAAATGTATATCATTGAAATTGATAATTTTAAAAAAAAAAATGTACTATTAAAATTTTTAAAAATTAATTCTCAAATAGTCAGATAAAAACATTATATGTTGTAATTAAAATATTTTATTTAAAATATAACAAACAATACTTTTTGTGTCATTAAAGTATATATTTCTTTTGATGTATTAAAACATAAATTTTAATAGTTTGTACAAGTAATTTCTGATATTCTATAGTGTACATACATAAAATAAAATAAATGTATTGTTAATTATGTCATAATTAGTATTAAGACTGTATAATTTTTGTTTTATTAAAACAGAAAACAATAATTGTATAAATATTATATAAGAAAATTATTTTGTATACAAGATAATATAAATTTCAATAGGTAATTTATTATAGTCAGTCATTTCATAATGAAAACATATAATATTATTATTACATTAAACAATTTTAAATATTCCAATACCAATACATAATTCAATTCAAGGAGACATGAAATGCAAATTGTTCATATTATTTGATGAAATTAAAATTAATAGTGATCATTGGTTTTTAATTACAATAAAAAAAACAATAAATCACACAAATTGATAACAATTCACTACAATGTTAAGTTTTGAATTGTAATAAAATACGATTCCATAAAAATTAATTATTTGTAAATGCATAAAAATTATAAAAATATACAATAATAGTTAATTAATCATTTTGGTAGCATTATTTATAATTGAAAACGTGATTTAACAAATTAAGGCAAAAAAAAATTTTTTTTTCGTGTATATGAAACATATTAAGTTCAAACACACAAAACAAAGATATAATTTTATAAAATTAATATAGTTGTCAATCAATCCTAAGATAAATTATAATAGTTTTATGTTATATTTTTGCATTCAATTTAACTTATTAACTTTAAATAAAATGTATTCAGACTTCAATGATGTATTAATCTGAAAATACATCTTACAATCATATAATAAAAGCCTATTAATTATTAATTAATTAACACTAAAATAATATACAGTTTGTATCACCTATAATGAGGGTCAAGGGGCCATCAAATATATGTCGTTAAAACCAAATTTTATTTTTATTAATACATTCATATTCTAATCGTACAATGAATTTTTAAACCACGGAAATATATTATTATAATTTTTATTTGATTTAACAAATACATTTATATTTAATAATAGTCAATAGGTCAATATGTTGTTATAGATGTTACAGACTGTATATTTTAATAATTAAATAAAAGAGCCTATTATTAGTAATATATTTTACTAAAGTGACATAAAATACATTTCACCGTTTATATTGTGTATAACACTCTGATATGGTTTTGCAACACACCATTCATACCACACTTTAAATTTAGTACTACAACGCCAAAAATTGATTTGAAGTTCTTCTCCTTTACGAAGTAATGTTGGTTTTATCAGAGGAAAATAAGCAGGGAACCAACTAAACATTCCTTCACTGAATGTTTCTGGGACAATACTAAGTTTAACATCTTTATAAAGTATAGTTTCAAAGTATCCAGCAAACCCATGTAATATGCAATCTTGTGATATATTGAATGTCAAAAAACCATCTTTATTACTATTATTCTCTTCCAAATTTTTTCTAGGATGATGAAATGTAAAAAGAGGTTTTGCTTTAGCTATAGTATATACATTATTTAATTGTACTATATATGGTTTTTGAAAGTTACAGTTATCTCTATTTTTTCTTATGGACGATATTTCTGAATGCAATTTACGTGACTGTACAGGACTAAGGAAAGATGTATAACTTGAAGGTATACTGATTCCGTCTGTTTTTAAATAATTTTGAGCACCATCCAAACATTCTGGAGATAATTCGTTATCTCCAAATGATCCTAAGAGCTCTGACACTAAAATATCACATTTTTCTGATGGTTTCCACAATCTCATATCTTTATTTATAATGGTAACACAATTATCCCAATTTTCTTTATTTTTATATAACAATGATGGTAATGCATTTTCATTTTTTTCCACAGCCCATACTTTAACTTTGATATCTGCATCTTTTGCTGCTCGCAACGTCGAATTTACTAATGGACCACGCCCAGCTCCAACGACAAAAACAATAAGTTCTTTATCATCAAACTTGTCAATTAAAGCTTTTGAAATGGCTCTTTCATATTGATAATACTTAATAGGATCTTGTTCAAAAGTTTCATAAACATACGACTGTAGATTTTGTTTTAATGGTTGTAACGGCGTTTGTAAATAATCTTCAAAACCGCTTATAAAGTCAGAGCTATAAGGAGTTAATGATGTAGTATTTCTATATAAATAACTTAAATAATTTACATGTTTTTGAATATGTGAAGATGCAGATATTATAATTTGACAACCTATATTGAACATTTTTTTAATAAATTCTTGATGAGACTTAGATAATACCGGATGACCTTTTTTATTTATTGAAAATGCACTTTTATCTATTATTAATGCTGTTACTGGTTCTCCTAACCAACGATCTAGTTCTTCACTGCTTGGTAACTCAGTCCCAATTTTCAATACTAATTTCATTTGATTTATATTTCTAATTGATGATATAAATTTGGTCCACTTTTTCCATGGATGTGTTCTGAGGTTGACTACTGGTACTAGTGCCCAAAATTGTATCAACACAGCAGAACTTTGATATGCATCAATTTGATTGTCAAGTAATCTTACTAAATTGATAAAATCTCCTTGTAATGGTAACTCGAACATAATACTATATACATTTAGAAAAGTAGCCCATGAAATATCTTGAATAAAAGATTTTTGATTTTCTAGTCTAATTGTTTCAACTGATGAATCAATATTAATAGGTAGAGGAATTTTAGCAACAATACAATGGCACCATTGTTGGCAAAATTTAGGATTCATAACAGTACATGTAGAATCCAACAAACTAGTACTTTTTAATCTAAGGCTTGAGACAGGTAAACAGGCGAAAGTAAGTTCCCATTCTTTTATAGATTGCATACATGTTAAGACATTTGTGTCAGCAAGAAAATTAAAACCAAAACGGACATCCTTAATAGACATGGTGTATTGAATTGGTCCAATTTGATTTTTAAATGTTATGATTCGTCTGCCTGAAAAAAAAAATTTAATTAGGAATTGCATCATGTAAAATAAAATTATTATTATATATTACTATATAGATATAATAATAATTATAAATCTAAAACACATTAATTGTATATGATTAATTTCTATTCAGAGTTACTAAATTCAATATTTATTTTTTTTATATATTGTATTTATTATAATCAAGTTAATTAGCAACTAAAATATGTTTGATATACCCTTTTTCATGAATTTAAAAATAAAATGAAATTTCATTGTAATTTATAATATGAGAAAAAATGTAACACATTTCTTAAAAGTTATAAAGAATATACGAAGTTAATAAGATAATTACGCAACATTAATTTCTAGAACTAACTGTAATACCAACAGATTGCATACAATTTCAGAAAATTCCAAAGTGCATCATCTGGAAAAATTAAATAAATCAGTGAAACTGTCTTAACTTAACTTAAGTGACATTACAGATTAACAAATTTAAATAAATGCCAAATATATACTGATCAACAAATTTTCTTATTTTAACACACACAAAGTTAAATGTAAAAATTATAATGAAATTATAAAAATATACGTGTAGACCTAATACAATAGTGAATACTAATGAAATATTTTTAATATATTGAAAATGTTTAATCAAAATGGAAGTTAGTACAGTAATGTATTTTTACTAAAATATTATATGATTAGTACCTATAATATTTTAATAATTAGGCTCACGTAATAATTCCGTGTTATCATTGTACGGTTTTCACATCATAAAAGTAGCACCATAAATAATTTAATATCTTACATTTAGTGCTGTTGAAAATATAATTTTTTAATACCAGGTTTTGTACATTTTTTCTACTCAGTTACTTCATCCATCAACTAATGGTTGATGTACAAAATAGCCAGTTAATATACGAAACTATGATTCTAAATTTTAAGTGTTTACTTTATCCAACTAGTATGGATTATGTGCACATTATCCGGATAGTGTGTACTTTAGCCATAACAAATATATATTATAAAGACCCTCCACTTCTGTGATAATTAATGCTATACTATAATATACATTGTATTAATTATATAAATGTCAAATTCATGTTGTCGAGACTTTGAGGAGGTAGTCGAGATAATAGAATTGAAACTTGCGGTAGTCGGAATAATGGAAAAGTACTTATTTATTTTATTTAATTTATTAACACCTGGCAGTAATTTATAAAGGAATACATGTGAATAATACAAGTGTGGTACAAATATATACAATATATATTAGTATATATAACATACAAGTACACAATATAAAAAAGTTGTTAAGTATAGAACTACATTTTAACACAAATGAATGTTGAGATACCGAGTAAACCAAGTTCAAAAGGCATTATTGGCATTACTGAGCCAACAGTACAAGGGATGGTTTTGGTCATGGGGTTGAAATGAATAGGAACATGAAAACTGGAATTGGGTATGATTACATGATGGAAAACAGGATGTAATGCAGAAATTAATGAAGAGGAAAACTTATGTAACAAACTATCATTACCCTATGTACGTCTATGTAACGATGGACTAGTAAAATCGCAAACCAAATACAAGTACGTTTTTCACCGGACAGTATTAAGTCGCCCGTACACTAATCGATACTTTGAGTGCGCCGGCAGTTCAATACATAACTAACAACACCACCAACGGGTCTAAAACGGACAAGACGAAATCGCTGTAGCTTACTGTGTGGACTCCACTAGCCGGTACGATCCGATTGTATCGCGGTAGAGTTGCCAATAGCGGAAAAGGACGACGTTAAACGGATCACGCGGATTCGGACGACAAGCGTCGGTGAGGCGACGTTAATTATTTAAATATTTTTAAGCCTCGTTAACGCCGTTTATGGTGATAAAAAAAAAAATGAACACAATTACGGACGATAAGAGCTACCGGACGGATAGTGATAATATAGTATAATCATGTAAGGAATACCGAAAACGATGCTCCGGCGCATAGAAAACGTTTCACACTTGGTGAACACGCAACGATTCGCGTAATTCTTCGTTTTACTTGATTATATACCAGGCCTATTATTTGTACAATTTCGGATTGCACACTTGATTTTACTGCTTTAAATGAAAATTTAGTCTCGCTACTGTCTTAGAAAAAGGAATATATTACATACATAATATATATAAATGCATTAATAATACTCATATTTCCTAGTAGTTGGCTTATTATTTAATTTTTATTTTGTGACCGTAGTGCACATTTGTACGTTCGTGGTGCACATTGTGTGTCGGGGTGCACATAAAAATAGGGCCTGTTGTACACTATATTTTTGATTATGTTATGATAACACCTAAGCTAATTGATAGTTTACAATTTTATATAATTTTCGCGTCCATTATTATACTATTATCTATACATATATTATAGTTGTGTACCTATCTGTTTTCCATTTTACCGAAATTAAACCTCTATCGTTTTTGAAAATTATATCGGAGATTTTTCAATCACAGTCAGAATAAAATAAAGTTGTCTTGCATATTATATTATTCATTGAAATTCCATATATTTATTTACTTGTGTATAACTTAAATACTAGCGGGCAGTTTAAAGATTCTTTTATTTCATCAAAAATAAACGAATAAAATCTATTTTATTGCCATGCGTTAAACTAATAAAACTATACCTATTTTACCGTTTTATTGTTACAAATTTTGACATATTTACAACATCTACTCCATTTTAATTATATTTAGCTTAAAGATTCAATGAAGTTTTCTTAAAATATTATTAAATAAATCCAAAACCAATATTTTCAGTAGTATATATTTTTGCATCATATTTACTTGTCAACACTTGAGTTTTCAATCTCACTAGACTAATTTATTAATCATTAATTCTTACTATAAAATTGAAAAATATGAACCTTATTTTAGTTGGTTTGTAAGTTTAAATATTTGATGTCATTTATACAACAGCTATTTCATCACATTAGCATGTAGCATTATATATATAAATACAATACAATATTATTAAAATTATTTATTACTAATATAATATTCATCCATTGTTATTTACTCTATTAAGTAATCTACTAATCTTAAATGTCAACATTTTAAAACATTGTTTTTCTTTTTTTGATTACTAACATATGTAATAAGAATTTAATTCAAGCCAAATGATAAACTTTTAATATGGCAGTATTCTATAATTACTTAAATCCAAAATTAAGTGATTGACTAAAAACCTACAATTATATTTAATTATTATTTTTTTTTATCTACAAGTATAATAGTTTTATTTCATTAGTTACCCACTCATAATTTAATTTCAAATTTTATAATGGTTGTTTAATGTAACTTTTTTGAAATTGTCTTTAAATTGATATAATAATCATTAGTTTTAAAACGATCAAAAACCCAATGTTTGTTTTATACAATTTCTTTGGTAAACTCTCATGCAACATTCCTTTTTAAACTTTATATAAATATATATGAAATAATTTGTGATGATAATTTCAGAGGCCTACAGGGCTGCAAATTATTAATAAATAAAAAAGTGTATAAATGTGTTAAAATCTAGAAAGTAGAACTATATTCATTTAACTTCAAAGCATTCATTAGTATTATTCATGTATAATTAATTTTTTAATAGACATACCATAATAAAAACCATATTACACTTATGATTTTTGGATTTATGAATAATCAGGCAAAAAAATTAATATAAACTTTTAAAAAAATCGAGTTTAAATTTACATTACAATTCCATTGATTAGCAAATTATTTTAAACATGAAATTTTTACTGCATCGCAAAGTATTAAATAATAGACATAACCTGCATATAAGAATTTATAACTCATAATTCTATTATTTGATACATCAGATGCCAAAATTAGTATATACATTTCATTGGACAATTATTGCAGAAAAGTAACAAATTTATAGTAAATAATTGTTTTTAAATACAAAATTTGTATAGATAAATATCTTAATCCACATTAATAGGACATAGGAACACTTAGTTTAACTCCATAATTTTAATGAAAAATCTTTATTATTAAATTATTAATTATAAAATTGAATAACATATTTATGGCCAGTTATCATTAGCAATTTGAATAAACATAAAAACATTTTGAAACTATAGAGAGTTAATCTTTATTTAAAGTAAAATATGTAATACCTTATTCTTATACATTTTTAAACTGCGGAAACAAAAAAAAAAAATGAAAAAGTACATTAAAATTATAATTCATGTTGAAAAGAATATGTTAAATTAATTGTAACACAATTATTGAACAGTTTTGAAGTATTCCTGAGATTTGGCTGGGTTAATGGTCTTGCTACCAGGCTTCCAGTTAGCAGGGCATACTGAAATTACAATATTATTAAATAACAAATTGTAACTTAAAATATGTAAATTATTTTTTGACTAACCTTCTCCATATTTATCAGTGAATTGGAATGCTTGAACAAGACGCAAAGTTTCATCAACAGAACGTCCAACCGGCAGATCATTAATCGTAATTTGTCTCAAATTTCCTTTGTCATCAATGATGAATAAACCACGGTAAGGAATTCCAGTAGTTTCATTATAAACCTGATAGTCCTTGGCAATTGAAGCCGATTTATCAGCTAACAAAGGAATATTCATTTTGCCTAAGCCACCTTCATTACGAGGAGTATTAACCCAAGCCAAATGACTGAAGTGGCTGTCACATGAAGCAGCAATCAACTGGCAGTTAATAGCAGCAAATTCATCAGCACGGTCAGAGAATGCAATTATTTCAGTTGGGCATACAAAGGTGCTACAACAAAAATAAAATATTCCTTTTATAGGTGTATTTTTAAGAGGCAGTATTAAATATGTATTACAAATCCAAAGGGTAGAAAAATAAGACAACATATTTTCCTTTGTAAGAATCTAATGAAATGTCTTTAAAGTCTCCATTTACAACAGCAGTTCCTTTGAATTGCGGAGCTGGTTTTTCAAGAATTAAAACCATTTTTCTGGAAGGTAAAAAAAAGAAATTAAATAATGATAGTAAATGATTCTAACTAAAAATAAAATGTATTTATTCTCTATAATTAATCCTTTAATATTTATAAATATCTTTATACTAAATTTGCTTAAATCACTAAAAACAATAGATAACATCCTTTTTATACAGTAGATGATAGTCCAACAGATATCAGACCAGAGGACTGTCAAATTAACAAAAACAGTTTCACATAAAAATGTTTTTTTTTTCTAAAAATCCTTGATTTATATTGATTATAAATATATAAATAAAACATACAATACATACTGATTTACTACAAACTGTGATTTAATCTTTGGATGGTACAGGTTTAAAAAATTATCAATTTGTTTTTGTTGTTTTTTTTTATTTTTATTCAAATTATGCTTTTAGGACAACATTTTAAGACAAAATCTAACCAGATTAGTGGACATAAGGATCAATTGTATTGAAATTTTGTTATTAATAAAAATAAAACTCAGTTTTAATTATATTTCAAATTATTATGTTAATGATGTTTTATACATTGTTATTAAATATATATATATATAGGTATATATTGTGTAAGTAATTATGTTTCAATATAAATTAAAAGTTCCTAAAATATAGTAATTTTCCCAAGTTAAAAATATAGCTGAAAAAATTTTAAAACATGTGTTGAAATATAACTTAATATTAAAAATTAATGAAAATCCTTATATAAAATTATAAATAAATGATTACGTTAACATTTTATATTTTAATCAAATTTTGTTATTATTGTTAAAAATAAAAAAATTATACAAATTTCTATGAATAGAACTTTAATTTATCATTTGATGGTATAAAAAGTATAAGGTATAGTACTACCTACAGTATGTAGTAGTATGTATTATGTAGTACTACATTATATGGTTAGTTTTAATGATTAATAATTAGAATTTGATAAAAAAAATTAATAAATATTTATATACAAAAAAACATGATATTAAATATAAAACTTTTATGCTCAACTGTAAACATTATATTATCTTTGGAAATATGTAATTGTTACTAAACCTTTTATTAAAATTTAAATGGAACCTTCATAGATTTCAACAGAATATTATTAGTTCATACTTGTTACTAAATGAATACAAATATAAAATTAATTTTGTAACATCAAACTAACATTTAAAATGTTTAGTTGTCTTTCAAATAATCAATTTAGAGAAATATTTGTTGACAAAAAAAAAAAATAAATAGCACTCAAATAATTTAGCAATCAATAGATATTCAAAACATTATTTATCAAACTCCCACAACTAAAAAATTTTTTAGTGGGTTGTATTCAAAGTTTTAGTTGAATAAATTAAAGGAATTCAATTTTCACAAGATATATGGTAGTTGTTAGAACTATGACGTATTATGTCACACCAAAACCACTCTACAAATTTAATAATAAAACATAATCAATAGTCTTATCAATGTAGTACCAAAAACTACTCTATTTCAATTGGGAACAGGAAAGAAAATATTACAGCTGTTTTTAAGTAGCAATGGCGAAATTGCTTAATCGAAATGTCAACCAGCCAACTAGTTATTAGTTATCACATGCATATTCATTACAAGAATAAACAACCATCAATTATCCGAAAATTATTCACGTCAATTTGCATAATCGAAACGCGCGACATTATTACTATCCAATCGGGTACAACAAGTTGTGCCGGACAGACTAGGAAAATCGATAGTATAGCATTGTAATTATTCATACGACATGTAACGATGAGTCACTGACAGTTATGTATACAAATATGAAAAATAAAAATATAGATAAGGGAAATTGTGTAAATAAAACGGAAATAAAAACAATGCAGTTACAGGGTGAATATTATACTTTGAACATTGAAAACGTAACATCGTAGTTAAATAGACGTTATAGTTTACGGTCGAGGTTTGCATTAGACAGTGGGTTCGTTTTCAAACCGAATTCGATAACGATGAAAATAATATTGATGCAAGTGAATTCGGAAGGGGCGAAAAAATAGGGAAAAATAAACGGAAAAAACCGCACAATCGAACGGCCGATCGAACGGAACGTTGCGGAGCGTGTGCGCGCGGAGAGGGGGGGAAGAGAAATAGCGATCACGAGGAACAGGTGGGACGTGGTGAAGAGTGTAACGGGATAACCGCAAAACGCGGAACAATGGAGGACACGAGGCAGAAAATGACGAAAAGCGTAGGAAAAACGTGACCAAGAACACCTCGAACGGGACACAATGGTGTAACGATCCGAGCGACGGCGGCGAGTTACGTAACACCGCCGGTGGAAAAACCGTTTAGGACCGCGACGTTCCGGCGGCACGGCCGGCAAACGGCGGAGCGCGATGGACGTATTGCGCGTGCAACAACGCGGGACATTTCCACAAACGTAAAAATGTAATTTACCTGTTGGTCGGCGGCGGTATACTCGTGAATATAAAAGACAAATGCGACGACGACGACGACGACGACGGTGTCTGAAGGACGGCGACGGATGAACAAATGAACCGGACGGACGGCGCACCAGCAGCGTTCACGAACATTCATCGAGCCGGCGGTGCGCGTGCGCGTCATTGTGGCTAGCTCGTGCGCGTGCGTGCGACCCGGTTGCCGGTACGTGCGTGCGCGCGACCCGTCCCGTCCGATCGCCGCTCGTAACATTTTTGTCGGCCATCGTTTCGTTTGAACGCGCGTCATAGTCGCGGCGCCGATAACGCGCGACCCGGTTTCCGGGGAAAAAAAAACACAGCGTTCAATGCTAATTCCCGTGTTGGGCTCCGTTTTTCCCCGGCACGACCCGAGTTGTGTTACAACGTTATTTTTAAACGGACAACAGGAAAACGTTTGCGAAAGTTGTGCGGAACGCGAGTCGCGGCACCGGACGATACGTTATCGGTACCGTCGGCGGAGCGTGCACGGCGCACACACGAACCGATAAACAATGATTTCGGAGCCGCCGTCGATCCGATCGCCTGTTGATAACGTGTACGTTGTGTGTTGCGATTCGATTGCTTGATTGCGATTGATCTACAACACACAGCATACACGATTTAACCATCGAGATCTACGTGTAATGATTACACGTCATCCCGGGCCGATACCGGTACGCGGAAAAAACCGAATTTCTTTTCAGATTTTTTCCCCTCGCGGTCGTGATAAATATTCCGTTCGGAATTATCGTTTATTACGAATTTTAACCGCATTATATATTACGGTACACGGGAGCGACGGTACGTCGTTGAAATTGTTGAACTCGTGATAATATTGTTTTCGTAGGCAAAATCGTTATAAAGAGTTGAGCGTAACATTGTCATTTCTTATAAATATGCACAGTTCAATTTTTACGTTCATGGAAACGTTTTCTTATTACAGAATATACCGTTTAACCTGCAATTTTACGTAGAGCCGTGAGCATTATCATTCCCGTCGACGATCGGTGTACGTCGTCTACGCGAAATCTGGTTTTTCGTGTTTGTTCGTCCATTCCGTAATTGAGTATGAAAAAAAATATCTGGGAAAATGTTTTTAGAAATTGCGTATACATTATTATGTTCCTGCAGTGGTGCAATGTTGCGCAATCAATTACAATCGTAAACTCGTTTTTCCGATTCATGACGGTAATTTCAACAAAAGTTTAAACTAGTGACTCCCAAATTTTTTCAACCACGGAGCCTTTTTTTAAGCAGTATTCTCTCATGGAGCCTCAAGAAATATTTTATATCAAGTCTTACCTATTCGCCCGTGTTCTACTATTACACATGTATTTTTGTAGGAGGAAACTTAAAACGAGATAGTGCACATTTGATACATTATATTTTACCGGGAAATAATTGAAATGCGCATTATCTAAAATGAAAAAAGTATATTTTCCTATCGGGATTTTAATATTGTTTGTATCGGTAAATCACATTTGTTATATACCTATACGCTCTTTTTAAATAAACATCAATAATTATTACGTTTTTACATTTTCTACGGTAAACCGAACGGAGCTCCGCAGATTTTTGTTTCTTAATAATTTTCGTACAATTTTTATTAATTCTCGCAATAGTTATGATAAATTAGACCCACTCCTTTTTAATTAATAAAGAAAAAAATGTTTGTCCATTTTCGGGAACACAAGATTTTGATAGTATATAAATTTAATTTAAACACATAATGTCATATCGAATACCTCGTATCAATGAGATTGGTGTGCTAATTTTTTACAATTTCGTACTAGTATGATCTGTATGAAATTCATAGATTTGCGTGTGAAATTATTTCTATGTTTTGTAGTACTTAGACAATACAATTGAAGAAAATTTATTTAGTTGACATTTTTAAAGTGAAATTTATTTTTAATTTTTGAAGAAAATTGTAGTACTTTCAACAATGATATATTTTGTAGTACTTATCAATATTAAAAAATGTGTACAGAATATCTATTCTTTTTCGTTTAGTGTTTATGTACGTCTCGCGTAGCTATTCAATATATTTAACTCACTTGATTCTTGAGTTTGACTTGCTTGCGCTACATTATGTGTTGGGAAATATGATATTTTACCAATGGAGAAAAACCAATTTTCAAATTTTTTTAATATTTAATATTTAAGTAGGTATGGTTTGTTTTTATAGATATACCAGTAAAATATAAAATATTTAAAATAATATTTTTCATTTTTTTATCGCATGCTTTTTATTGTGCTCTCATATGACAATGCAAGATAAATGATGAGATAATTTTAAGATTATTTGAATTGATTATTTTAAACACTGGTAATTATTATACTTAATATTTGATTTATAAACTTACATAAATAAAAATACAATACCATAAAATATAAAATACAATATCTGCTCAACAATGGCTTCTCTGACACTCAACAACTGTTCTCTAACAAACAAACCGACCTTGGAGTGGGTGAATATTAAATAGGTATCGCAAATATATTTATTAATATGCACCTCTCACACTTTCATAATAATTCTAACTTTGTATTTTTTGAGACTAAGACACGTAGTAAGTTTATTTTTTTTGTTAAATTCACTGACATCTAAGCACTAGGTATGCTATTGGCAATGGATTGAATCTTAATTTCAATGAAATGTGGAGGCGTAAAACAAACACTCAAGATAAGTTTGAATTTTACAAGTCTTGTGCAATTTTCTAGCTCTACTGAGATTTATGATTCTTACATTCCAAACAGGGTCGTGTCAAGGGCAGTGGCGCAACTAGAGCTGAAATTTTGGGGGGCTGTGTCTGACTTTACATGAATATATATGTTCATTTAAAAATATATATTTAAATATATTGAAATATATTAAATTAAAAAAATTAAATAATTAGGTACATTATTTCCTAAAAATAAAAAAAATAAGAAATACAGTTTAATTTTTAAAGATAATAAATTAATTTACTTATAAATGACAAAAAGCATTTTCAGATAATAATTGTTTTTGTTGTACATTTTTAATAAATTCGTCATAAGTCTTCAATTTAATAGTCAATCTTTTCAATTTTATTTGAAGATTATGATTTTGAATTTGTTTTTGTTGGTATTTAAACTTAATCATATTTAAATGTCTTTTGGCTCTATTTGGAGAACTGAAATGGGTAGGTGATAATAGTCCAATAGTGTTAACATTTAATCGTTTACATTTTTTTCGGATATGGTGACAATTTATGTCTAACACCAATCTATGGTGATAGCTGTACTGATGTTATATCTTTCACATTATCCAATTTGCGTTTTCTAAAATAAAAAATATGATAATAGAATAGAATATTAATTATATGAATATGTTATATTAACGATAACAATTTTCATATATGAAACACTATATGAAATCCAAACATTTTATAGTTAAAACAATACATTACCTGGGAGTAACACAGATTTCAGATTCAAGACATGATTCTCCAAAATCATTGTTATCAGAATGATTTGTAATATTTGTATCTGTAATAGTAGCTGTTGAATTTTCCTGATTTATTGATATATTTTGTTTACTGGAAAAATAAAGTATAGATTATAAAAAAATGATAAATTATCTACATACAAAACAGTTATTTTCAATGATACATTTGATATTTTATATCCACTAAAAATCAGATTAATATTAAGTTGTTTAAGTTAAAATAAATACCATGGAGCAGCATCTCTTTTCAAAAGTCCACTCAATTCATAATCTGCTGGTAAAAAATGATTTGAACATACTCTGGATGTTGACAAACATAAATTGATCTCACAAGCTTTCTTCCACTGACCCTTACGTGATTCGTCTTTAGAAAACCTTAATTAAATAATACAATCATAAATCATTGACAAAGTAATAAATATAGGTAAAACAAAGTACCTATACTTACGCATGACATTTTATTTCGCTATTAGGTTCATATTTCACGCCACACATTTTCAAACCATTTTAGAAAAAAAACAGACAAAAAAAAAGTCATGCACTATACGTTAAGCATTAAAACTATTTAAAAATTATTGTATTACCTCAAGTGATTTTGATTCCAATAAAATATTTTTAGATGACTTGCTTTCAGTTGCATCTTTATTTTTGTATTACTTGTTTTTTTTAATGTTAAATATACTGAACATTTCAAAAAAATTACAAAAAATGATGCTTTTCGTTCATTTTCAAGTTTTAAGTATTACTGTAACGGCGTGGCGTGAAAAGTGAGATAGAAATCAATCAGGAGTATAATATTAAACTATTTGGGTATTTATAAATAATCATGCGCCGCTAATTGATATATATGATGTTCGGGAACAATAAAATATTATTATTTTCGGGAAAACCATGACATGGATTATCATTTAATGATAATTCATGACACAATAGTACAAAGAACAACATAATTACACATTTGTCAGTCTATTAAACAATAATTAATATTTACGGAAATATTAAAATTAAATTAACCATAATTAATTTTGTGTAATTTTACATAAAATTCAAGACTATTGATATGTTTTATTTTATAATTTATTGTAAAACAATATTCATATTTTGATTTCAAACATAAATATAATATGTATAAATAATATAATATTATTAAAATTATATCACAAAATACTGAATCCTACGATAAAAGATTGTCCTGGCTTTTGAGAGGATTTGGTATTTATTTCATCAGGGTCTAGAAAATGTTTTAGAGGGGCTAAGCTCCCTCTAACCCCCCTAGTTACGCTGATGGCCAAGGGGAAGGAGAGCAAAGGAAACGATTGCACTGGGGAGCCCGAGTTTTGTCAAATTATAATGGTGCTCCATCATATAATGCACTTCACTGATTGTAGCTACCGAACACCACATAACAATCGTGGACATCGAATTTCTAGACACGACTTTGATTTTAAATGTTATATTTTACATTAGTAAATTTTACAAGTGATTTATATTAGGCTGAAATCATATTTTGCACGCGCGATATGTGGAGGACTTAATTTAACAAACTAAACTGTCTTGCTCAGTCGAAACACGTAAAACAATTATTATTTTTTTTTTTTTGTAGTAGTAGTAGTCGAAACGTAGAAATCATTATGTTCTATTATGCACTTAAAAAAAATTAATCAAAGACGTCGAGTTGACTTGACCGAAAGCACGCAACAATAATACATATAATTATTCACAACAGAAGAAAAGACTTTACATAGTACGCCTTTCTACAGTCTATAATGTTTCTACACTTCAGTGCTGCTAGAAATGTATGTAGTTTACAGTTTACTAGATTTTCCATCCGTATACAATGCAATGTATATTATGTACTAATAGGCAATTCAACTAAATAATGAAAAAACAAAAAAAAAAAAACATTTATTTTTATCAGTATTATATTAATTATTTGCTATTTAGCCAAATAAAACACATATCGTACATGCAACGACTAATGCTGTCCTGTTAATATCACCCAACATTTTAATTTTTTGTTAATTTTCATGTATAATTTATATATTTATCATTGTTAACGTTCCGGAATATTGCTATATTCTTGGCTGTCCAAATTATATTAACTATTACCAATAGTTAATATAACGTGAATAAACAGTATTAACAAGTAACAAAATGTAAACCGAAGAGTAAATACTATTAATGCACTGATAAAATTATATTCAAACACTATTCGATTGACGGATTTTTTCTTGGTATTTAAAATAATTAAAACTATTTATGAGTGATAATTGTTATGATTAGCAGGGGCGCAATTTCAATAAAAAACTGGGGGTGCTGAAGTCCTTCTGTCTTTTCATGTTCCTTAATGGTTATAGACACTCGCAAACTGTACAATTCAACAGTTACTAAAATATTTGGTAAATATATGAATATTTCTAAATTTAAATTGTTCACTTTGATTTTATATTTTTATTGCACGTACAACTAATTACTTGTCTGTAAACACAAATGCTTTATCACATGATCTCTTTTAGATTCTGACTGAAGCAAAGGATATTATGGTTTTAAAATAATGTTTGTATTTTATTTGTTTAACACTTTTTCGGATAGAAATACTGGTCCAAAAGTTTTTTCTAGGACCTTTTTTAGATTTTAAATTGGCATATGGTGGTACTTTTTTATTTTATTTTATTTTATTTCTCAATTATATTATATTAAGACAAACAGCTAATCACTGATGTATTTCAATAAATAAAAATTTTTTTTGTAACCATATTTTTGTGTTTTTCTTATAAAAATGTAAATGCATATTTTTACATATTTTGGTAAATAAAATGCATATCTTACAATTTTTTATTACATACAAATCCTAGCCCTGTATATTTGTGTGTGTAAATTACAAATTATGTTTTATTATACTGTAAATACCTAGGTTGCGATTAAAATTGTACTTTGAGATAAAGTCGTCGAAATTAAAAATTAAAAAATTCTACATTTCCTCTAAACATCTAAGCCAGGATATTTAGACGTTCCGAAAACATTTTTCGAGACACCGGGTCACGAAGTCCAAAACCGGTGACAATCCCGGTTTTCCGAGACGTATGGCAACCCTAGGACCTTTCATAAATATACATTATTATACCGTATATTTATGAAAGCGTGCCAATAACATTTAATAATATACTCATAAGTTATTAAGTATTGAATTTATTATATTGTAGATATCAAAAACGTTTGAAATACAAATATAATATAAAAAATCGATTTTGGAATAGATGTATTGAATTAATACCTATGAAATTATTATTATGATTTTGGTTGATTATATTTATAACTTTAGCCAATAATAATTGAAGGAAAAGTCCACCGATAATGAACATTATGACAATCGGGAAACTTATCGCACGTGTGATTTATACTACATAATTATCTGAAGGCTAAAATAACTAACATTTCTGAGTTATATTGCGTCGGTTATTAACATTACTTAAATTATCATACTTATCACGAGATGATTTTTAGCTGCGTTTGAATTATGAAGTATGTGTTACAATATTGAGTTTTTATAATAATTTTAAATAATATATGTAGTCAGTCTTGTAAAAATTACTTTTGAAAAAGTATTAAAATACTAATACTAGTATTCGAATAAAATAGAATTAAAAATACTTATAAAATACTATTATAAAAATTGTATTTAGAATACCAAAAAATACTTCAAAAAGTATTTTAATACATGTATTCAAATACTTGTATTCGAATCAGTGGCGTATTTAGGAATTTCAGGATAGAGGCAACACATATTTTCCCCCACTAAAAAGAAAATGTTTTTACCTACTAATTATTATTATTTATTAAAACTTCTATTAATTGCTAGATATACAATATAAATACAAAATTCAAATATTTTTCTTACTTGATTCAGAACCAGCAAAATCATTAATTATTTATTTAAAATTCAATGAAGTGGTTATTTCAGCTGCAGTTATTAATACTGGTAAAGCCGAGCAGCGGTTTTTAGCCATTGTAGACCGTCAGTAGCTTTTATTATTTTTAATGTAGAAAAAGAATGCTCTACAGTACAATTTGTAGATTGTGTACACAACAAAATACGTAAAGCTACTTCAACATAGGGATGAACACTAGTAAAATTATGTTCTCTTATGAACCGTAACATCTGTATTGTTGTAAACTAAACTTTAATGTTTTTTATATAGCCTTGAAATTGTACACACTCATTTACAGAACATGTTGCCAAATTATTTGTGTAAGTTGTGTCGGTGGGTAAAGTATGAAATAAAAATTGCCCGCCTCCCTAAATCTTTAAAAATTTGCCGCTCGGGGCAACGGGACCCATAGCCCCTACCTAAATACGCCCCCGATTCGAATACTTTACAAGACTGTATGTAGTTAATAATTCTTCATTGATGTATCCATAAAAATTAAAAATGTAAAAGAAATTTAAAAATTTAAGTTTTTAGTTGAATTGTTTTTCGTTATTTTATGTATAGATCAATAGGTTATGCTTTAGTTTAATTTATAGTGTATATGTTTAAAAGCTATAATTCATTGTTTTTAAACATATTCGTATTTTATCCGATTTCATTAATAAATATATACTATAACATATGGGTCACGAGAGTAAAAGCATGTAGTGAGTAGTTAGTGAGATTGTAAGTAGTTCACTGAAAGCTTGTGCTTTAAAGCGTTGTGCTTCCACACCAAGAAATTTGCTTACCAACATTGCCGTTGACAAAGTTTCGTAAATGTTTTTAATAATTTTGTTTCCAACTTCGTCGCATACATTGTCGCCGACAAAATTTAGTTTCCCGACTAGTGGCGGTAAACACCAAACAATTTTGTAGATATTTTCGGATACAATGTATTCACACGCCCAGAACAGTCAAACTTTGTCTTTAATAATAAAGATAATAATTATTAATGATAACGATAATTATTAACGACTCTTGGAAAACCGGCATTATTATTGTTGTTTAATTCATTCATCATGTACTTTCCAAACTAATTTGATTTTGGTTTTTTTTTTTTTTAATTCTATTCAATTCGTGAATTGAATTTGTTTGTGATCGTGAAGTAAAAATGTATAGTTTTAACTTGCGTTAAGATATATTTATTTTCACGTGAATATTATTATGGAATGAATCAAAGAAACGGTCTCTCAGTTGATAAATTTATATCAAGAAAGACCCACTGAAAAAAATGAATTTAAAAAAAATGTCATTTGACAGAAATATCAACAATTTTAAATATTGAAAACAATTTGATGGCCAACAAGGATAATTAATACTTCAAAGTTATCCCTGGATATACGCAAAAAAATATTAAAGCTACCATTACATCTAAAAGTAATAATATTCTGTTTATTTGAAGAATACAAAAAAAAAAATAAAATATATTTCCGAATAAAAATATTAAGTGAATTATAAATTAATTTTAAACAATGTTTAATAATTTTGAAACAATGATACCTTAATTCTACAGTAAACTCAATATCATCTCATTAAAAATCTATCA